ACGGCACGTTCTGCAGAATAGCCACGAGGCGCTTCCCACTGCCGATGAAACACGGGCTGTCTCGGGCCGCTGGGAGAGAGCGGCAGGGAAGCCCTCGAGCTGCCGTGACAGGTAAGCGTGGGCTGAAGAATGACTCTTGGACAATAGGATGCCGCACACAACTGTTAGAGTGGCCCAAGCCAGCACCGGCCTCGCCCTGAGCACACGCCGCTGCTGGGGACGCGGGTGGGCAGCCCCGGAGGAGGACAGGGTGGGGTGTCCCACACAGCCAAACCCACTCCCCCACGTGGCCCCACAACTGTGCTGGCCGAGGCCCCCCCGTTCTCCTGACACCCTGCCCTGATGCAGGGAGCGGCTTGTTCGGAATCACCCCAGCGCGGACGTGACCAGGCCGTCCTACACGGGGCGGGCTCTCCGTGGACCCTGCGCTCGATGGAATGTCATCCGACTGGGCAGGAGTGAGGTCTCCCCATGAAGGGCTCAGTTCCCACCACCGTCCCCCGGGCCGGGTCTCCACGGTGTCTGTATCTGGGTTTCCTTCCCACTTCGACACGTGAATGTGACTGAGAGTGAAGTGCACGGTGAGTAGCCATTTTTAGTTTCTAAATATATTTTTTATTGATTTCGGAGCCGACCGGGAAGGGAGAGAGAAAATGGAAACATCAGTGGTGAGAGAGAATCATGGATCGGCTGCCTCCTACACACCTCCCACTAGGGATGGAGTCCATAAACCAGACATGTGCCCTTGACCGGAATCGAACCTGGGACCCTTCAGTCCGAAGGCGGATGCTCTATCCACTGGGCCACACCAGCCAGGGTGGTAGGAGCCAATTTCAGACGGAGGCAAATGACAAGAGAGTAAAACCGGGGACATTTAGGCGGAGGTGAAGGAGGTGGCCAGGCCTGCTCGCCTGAACAGTCCGCCCGTGGCTGGAAACGGGGACGGGAGGTCATGCATCATGGAGTGAGGGAAGCTCCGACGGTTGGGAGTATTTTCAAAGAAATGCAAGAAGCGGGAGAGAGCGTGTCTCCCCGGGGCCTGTGCCGAGCCCAGTCCTCGCGTCTCAGAGCCCTGCCCGCAGGCCTGACACGAGAAAAGGAGCGAGCAGCTGTTTTAAGTGAATAAAACAATGCATTGACTGATAAACGTGATTTCCACGTTCTGGGCAAACAAAGGGCTGGTCACGTTGCCCCCGGGGAGAGTGAGGCATTGCGTTTGAGATGGCGGTGGTTTAGCATGTTCCGTCTTTCCTCCTTTCCCTTTGACGTGAGGGTGACCCCGTATTTGCCCAGACGGGAAAGCACACAGGCGGGGTCTCTAACTTCGCTTTTGGAGAGCGTGTTCAGTGCGGCCAGAGGAACAAGAGCCGGCGGTGTGCGGCGGTTTGAGGACAGGATGTCCTTCTCCCTCTGCAGCGGCCGGGTCCCCTCGGGGGCGAGAGGCCCCCCGGCTGGCCGGCGGGCGGCGGGCGGCGGGCGGCGCTGGTCGGGGTGATTTATCTGGCGGGGCACGGAGACTGGCTGCGTCTGATAATTAAGCCTAACAAACGGGATGGGTAATGAAGTGTTCTGTCCCACGGCCTCACGGGAGGCAGGCATCACACCAACCAGTTATTGAGACGGTTCTTTGGGGCGTGATTCATGGCTGCTCATCTGTCCCGTCCTCCGTCCCTGGCATCCCGCGCTCGCTCCGCGCGCTGAGTTGCTGCGCCGGCCGCCTCGTCCCGTTGTAATGGCTCCTCCGTGGGCCTGCATCTGGCTGCACGGAGACCGTGGGTCCCTGCTGGGCGGCATCTTCCGAGCGATTCTGGAGCGCCTCGGCGCCGTCCCAGAAGCAGTGCTGCCTGCACGCCATCCTTAAGGAGCGTGCCTGCGCGGCTGAGGGGATCTGAGTGTCTGCCCGGCCACTCTGCTCCGGTCGCAAGCCACAGAGGAAGCCGCAGCTCTCCCAGCCTGTTTGCTGAGTTACATTATTTTATTTTCCTTAAGAATATCTATTCCTGGATGAAAACGGATGGGACACAGAAGTAGGAAAAGGATGGAACGGGACCGTCTGTGGGTAACGGGGCTGCATTTTGGGGTGTTTCCATCCTCTGTTCCTCCAAATCGGGACGTGCCGCCTGCCGGGGGGTGCTGATAGGACCGCTCTGCAGGCGGCTGGAGGATCCGGGGAAGCAGCCCTCTGGGCAGGAAGCAGCCCGGCCCTGTGGCGGGCGTTACTCAGGGCCACTGTCAGCACATCTCTCCCTCCGTCAGCCCCGAGCGGGCACCTCCTTGTGAGACTCTGGGCTCTGGGCGCCGGTCCCAGGAGTCATAGGAGGCCCGTTTTCCTTCCGTCACCCTTGGTGTCCGGTGTGGCAGGCCGGAACAGACACCATACATTTATGTCCGTCAGCGGAGCCATTCCTTTCTGCAGGATGGTCATGCTTTAGGTCGTTATTTTCAAACTCGCACAGAACACCCTGGAGGTGATGCTGAAGCATGAATCCTTGGTCAGACTGTCTGGCCGAGGTGAAGGTGAGGGGTGTGAGTCAGTCCCCGAGGCAGGTGAGCGTCTGGCCGTCTCTCCCTCCCCACGTGACGCCCTCTTCGCAGGTGAACACGCTGCCCACAGCCTCTCTCTGGGCCTGGGGCTCAGCGGGTGGATCCATTACCCGTTGGGTTGGATTGCATCCGAAAAACACAGAACACACTGCGATTTGCGTGTCTTTACCCGGAACCCCCCTGTCCTCCTGGGTGTGGCAGGGATTGTTCTTAGAATGAAGCCATCTTGTGCGGATGTGTTCCTGGTTCCCTGGCTGGTGTGTTGGTTTCCGTGAGGCGTCTGTAAGCTCCGCTGTCCACAGGGATTAGCTGCCGAGCCATGCCTCCAGGCTGCTCGGTGCCTGGTCTGACCCTGGGCCCCAGGTCTTCCTTGACCGACGCCAGTGTCTCTGCCTGTGTCTGTGGATCTAGGATTCTGTCTCCCCCTTTCAGCCATCGCCCCTCACACTTCCAGCTCGGGGACGCCCCGCAGCTCCTGGCCAGAGGCCCGGTTCTGCCTTTGGCCGCCGGAATGACGCTCGCTCTGCTCTGCGTTGGTTAGGCTATTGCGCCCGGTCTCAGATCCCCGCCTTCGGTTTTAATAAACCGCCGGCCTCTGCGTCTGCCGAGCACATACTGGATGATTCTCTTGATAACGGGGTGCCCTGGCGCCTCGCCCAGGATTAATAAGACTCAGCTCCGCAGGAGCCTCTTTCACCTGCAAACATCTCCCTCCCCGCGGAGCCGGTGCCTGTGGCTGCGGGAGCATCCTGCCCTGGACGCGCAGGGCGCTTGGCTGGTGTGGGCTGGGGGTTCCTGTCTGTGAGGGTCTGCCGCCTCCGCCCCCGCCGGCTCTCCTGGGGGCCCCTCTTCCTCCGGAGACACCGCGTGTGTGGCCGCCTCCCTCCCCGAGCACAGGCCTCCGAGGCCGGGAGCGTGGCCCTTCCCTGGAGTCACAGCACAGAGGGCTCACTCCGATGGACTGGAGCTGGGGATGGCTCCCGGACAGACAGACCGGGCCACGCATCTCCGCTTCAGTGTCCAGGGTTCAGTGGTCCCACGTGGCAAAGCATGTGCTCGCCCAGGTGCTGCCTTCACCCATCCTGTCCTCACTCCTCACCCTGTCCTGTCCTCACCCACCACCCATCCTGTCCTCACCCACCACCCCATCCTATCCTCACCCACCACCCATCCTGTCCTCACCCACCACCCATCCTGTCCTCACCCACCACCCATCCTGTCCTCACCCACCACCCCATCCTGTCCTCACCCATCACCCCATCCTGTCCTCACCCACCACCCCATCCTGTCCTCACCCACCACCCCATCCTGTCCTCACCCACCACCCCATCCTGTCCTCACCCACCACCCCATCCTGTCCTCACCCATCACCCATCCTGTCCTCACCCACCACCCCATCCTGTCCTCACCCACCACCCCATCCTGTCCTCACCCATCACCCATCCTGTCCTCACCCACCACCCCATCCTGTCCTCACCCACCACCCCCCATAGCCACCCTCCTGCCACCCCAATGGCCAGCCACCTGCCACCCCCCATGGCCACCCTCCTGCCACCCCCAATGGCCACCCACCCGCCACCCTCCATGGCCAGCCCTGCATGTTGCCTGCCAGGCCGCACCTGCCACCAGTTGCAGGGATCCTGTTCCTTCGGCTTCCTAAAAGCAAAAACTAAAAAACACTTCAAGGCTTTGCAGATTACACGCAGAGGACAATTTTCTAGTCTCGGAAGTTCTTTTTCATATGTTAATATAAATAATTACATAAAATATGCATACATTTCTCTGGAAGTACTCATTTCATGGTGCTCTAGGTATCCTTCAAATATATTTTCATTAGTGATGATCAGCATTGCTTTTGATTACACTGAGCTTTTCCCTGTCACCCCCACGCTAGAAGTGTGAACATAAATATTTGATAGATATTTGATGTAGAGCGTAATGAGGTTAATGCCGCCCGAGGGGCTGAGGAGGGCGAACTATGGAGGAGCGTGGCTCTGACTTCTGTACTCCCCGTGGGCACCGCCGTCCCTGTCCTTATCGCTGAGGGATGGGGGGCAGGGGGGCAGCTCGGGGACGCCGTGGGGTGGGGGAACAGGGGGGACACCGTGGGGTGGGGGGCAGGGGGGCAGCTCGGGGACGCGGTGGGGTGGGGGGCAGGGGGGCAGCTCGGGGACGCGGTGGGGTGGGGGGCAGGGGGGCAGCTCGGGGACACCGTGGGATGGGGGGGCAGGGGGGCAGCTCGGGGACGCGGTGGGGTGGGGGACAGGGGGCAGCACGGGGGACTCTGTAGGATGGGCGGACGGGGCCGGGCTGGCCGGGCTGGGAGTCCCGGGGCTCAGCGCTCGCGGTCCGCAGGTCATCCAGCTCGGGGACTCTGTGGGGGGCGGACGGGGCAGCTCGGGGACGCGGTGGGCAGCCGGGCGGGCGGGCCCGGGCTCAGCGCTCTCCGTCCGCAGGTCATCCAGCTGGCCTTCGAGGAGTTCGAGCTGGAGCGCGGCTACGACACCCTGACCGTGGGCGACGCCGGCAAGGTGGGCGACAGCAGGACCGTCCTGTACGTGTAAGTGTGTCCCTCCCTCCGCCCGCGCGTGGGGCGCGGCCAGCCGGTGTGCACAGGTTCCGGGGGGTGCAGCCAGCGTGGTGTGCACAGGTCCCCAGGGGCGCGGTGTGCACAGGTCTCCGGAGGCCCTGTGTGCACAGGTTCCCGGGGGCGCGGTGTGCACAGGTTCCCGGGGCGCGGTGTGCACAGGTTCCCGGGGGGCGCGGTGTGCACAGGTCCCTGGAGGCGCTGTGTGCACAGGTTCCCGGGGGCGGGGCGCGGTGTGCACAGGTCCCCGGGGGCGCAGCCAGCGCAGTGTGCACAGGTTCCTGGCAGATTGGCTTTTACAAGGGGTAAAGGCCCAGAGGTGTGTCCACGTCGGAGTCCGGGAGAGTTCCTTCGTGGTGCGTTTCCAAACCATGAAAGATAAGGCAAGCAGCCCTGGCCGGTGTGGCCCCGCAGACAGAGCACCAGTCTGCAGACCGGAGAGTCCCGGGTTCGATTCCGGTCAAGGGCATGTACCGTGGTGGCGGGCTCCTCTCCCAGGACACACATACACGGGCTGAGTGCCCATACTGAGTGCATCCTCTCCTCGGCCCTGGGAGTCCGCTCAGCGCTATCCTCATCGCACAGGCGATCAGAGGAAAGCACAGATACGTGTGTCCCATCACACACATCCACACACCTGTGCGGGGGCGGGTGTGAGGCTCCCCTGGTGCCCCTGGCAGATGGCATTCGTGCTCGGACCTCAGCTGCAGCACCTAGCTTGTCATCCGTCCGGTGGAGGTGCCCTGTCCTCTGATGCTCACTGGCCAGCTCACTCCCTCCCCCTGCAAACAGCCGGCCCAGTGCAGTCTCCTCCTGCTCTCCCCGCTGGGACCCTCAGGACCCTGGCTGGGGCGTCCTCATTTCCACGCACGCTTCCCAGCAGCCTCCGTGAGTTCCTACCATGTTATTCTTCCCCTCACGCTCACCAAATAACTACTCTGTGTTGCCAAATTACCAGCTGAAAATGCCAGTTATTCATCAAAACGCCGGCCTCAGGGCTGAGTGAGGCTCCCGCTGACTGGGCCCACCTCCCCCCGCCCCCCCCCGGCCCGAGGGCAGTGTCTGGGCTCAGGGGCTGGGTGCTGTTGTGAAGTAGGAAGTGCCTGGACACACCCTCCCCGCACGGCGAGGAAATGATAAAACCGGGGGCAGACGGCCTCCTTGCCGCCGAGCATCCTGTAAGGAGGGATGCGCTGGACAAACGAGGAAAACTCAGTCCTAAACGGGACCTTGAAGGGCGAGGCAGCAGACAGGCCAGCGAGGCCCCGCGGTCACTGCTCAGGGGACCCCCATTTCTCAGCGTCAGGAACAGCGAGCCCTGAGTCCCACTGATGGGGCTGGAGGCGGGCACCGGCGCTCCGCGGCTCAGGCCACAGGCGGGCACCAAACGGCGGCCGCGTCAGGCCCAGCGCCCACGTGGGCAGAATGGAAAGGTCGCTGGGCACTGAGTCAGCGCCGGAAGGAAGAAGAGGAAGGAAGAAGAAAGCCAGGGCCGGGCCTCCGCCTACGGGATCACAGGGGCGGAAGGCAGAGCACCGAGAACCGCAGCTCGGAGTAAGGGGGTGAGTGAGAGAGGCCGCCAGTGAGCGCTTCCCGCCCGGGCGCCTGGGGCAGCTCTGGGCGGTGAACGGCCGAGGGAGACCTGGCAGAGCAGGGGCTGCTGGCACCGCGGAGGACGTGGCACCGTCCAGTCTTTCGACCCCAGCGTCTGAAGATACGTGGGTCCCGTCTTTGAGGGTCCCGGTGGGTGCTCCTCCCTCAGCTCGGTCTCTCAAGGCGCCTTTATGGGGGAGGGTACCCAGGCTCGGGTTCAGGAGAACCTTGGAGCCCAAGAGAGCCTCCAGACTGGTCAAGGGCACGTGCCTCGGTCGCAGGCTCCTCCCCGGCCGGGCCCAGGTTGGGGCTTGTGCAGGAGGCAGCCAGTCAGTGTGTTTCTCTCCCATCGATGTTTCTCTCTCTGTCTCTCCCTCTCTCTTCCCCTTTCTAAGAACCAGTGGGAAAACACCCTCAGGTGAGGAGTAAAAAACTCTCCTTCCCACCAGTGGCCTTTATTTCCTTCCCCTTCTTGGCCAGAAAGAGGAGAACTGAATGAGGCGCCTCTTTAACAGCCTCATCTCCCCGAAGGGGCAGGAGGCTCCTCAGGGGACTCTCAGGGAAGGACAGACTGTACCAGAATCAAAGAGCTTATCAGTCTGTGGAGAGCATGCTGAGAACGTCTACGGGAAATTTCTCGAACCCAGTTTGCAGAACTGCGGGCTCAGGTGCGTCTGCCCACCCTCTGGCCTCCGCAGCCCCTGGCAGCGGCGACGGGAGGCACATTAACCCGGGTGGGCCAGTCCTGGGGCGCGGGCACCGGGCGAGCTTTTAAACACGCCTTCCTCGGGGGACAGACAGACAGTCGCCTCCGGGAAGTCGGAGCCTGGGGCTCTGCCTGACGACCTTGGTGGGTTGACCCATGCGGAGCCCAGGCCTTTCCTGTGGCTGCTGACCTGTCATTCTTGAAACTGCCTTTTCCTTCCGAAGCTGCCCTGGTCCCTGCACGACTGTCCCCTGCTGTTGTCCTGGGCCGAAAGGCTTCACGGGCTGGTGAGCATTGACTTAGGTACCAAGAGGTCACTGGTTCAATTCCCAGTCGGAGCACATGTCTGGGATGAGAGCTCAGTCCCCAGTAGGGGGCGTGCAGGAGGCAGCCAGTCAACGTTGGTGCTTCTCTCACTAATGTTTCTCTCTCCTTCTCCTTTCCTCTCTCTCTGAAATCACTAAAATCCTTTTTTAAAAGGCTGTGGAAAAACCCCAACCAAGCAGATTCTGGGGTGGATGTGTGGGCGCATGTCCGATGCCTCCAGCAGGGGCTCATTGCCCATCTCGGGGAATCGGAGTGACGGGCACCGTCTTCCTGTGTAGCCGAAGACAGAGAGAGCGCTGACATGGCCACGCACAGAGCAGGCAGCCTCGCTGGCCTGGGCCCCAGGTGTTCACCAAAGGGGTCCCTGTTCACCGTGCCCCATTCCTCATGCTAACATTTTGCAAATCTGTAATAAAACACCTCAACCAGGGTGTGAACTGCAATCCACCAATTTCAACTCAGATGTCCCATGTTTACGTGTTACCCTGTACAGGTGTGTGTTCAGTTCTGTGTTAATTTCCTCACTTATGACTATGCACCCACCACCACAGCCAAGACTCAGAGAACAGACATTGCAAACTCACTGGTCAGCATTCCATCAACACATCCATCTCCTCTGCCCACTGGTCCCTGAATGACAACCACTGTCTGCATGCATTTGTGAAACTGTCATTGTAGCAATGCACACACTCCCCTCCGTGACACTGTGACATTGTAGCAATGACCCGTACTCCCCTCTGTGACACTGTGACATTGTAGCAATGCACACACTCCCCTCTGTGACACTGTGACATGGTAGCAATGCTGCGTACTCCCCTCTGTGACACTGTGACATTGTAGCAATGACCCGTACTCCCCTCTGTGACACTGTGACATTGTAGCAATGCACACACTCCCCTCTGTGACACTGTGACATGGTAGCAATGCACACACTCCCCTCTGTGACACTGTGACATTGTAGCAATGACCCGTACTCCCCTCTGTGACACTGTGACATGGTAGCAATGCACACACTCCCCTCTGTGACACTGTGACATGGTAGCAATGCACACACTCCCCTCTGTGACACTGTGACATTGTAGCAATGACCCGTACTCCCCTCTGTGACACTGTGACATGGTAGCAATGCACACACTCCCCTCTGTGACACTGTGACATGGTAGCAATGACCCGTACTCCCCTCTGTGACACTGTGACATGGTAGCAATGACCCGTACTCCCCTCTGTGACACTGTGACATGGTAGCAATGACCCGTACTCCCCTCTGTGACACTGTGACATTGTAGCAATGCACACACTCCCCTCTGTGACACTGTGACATGGTAGCAATGCACACACTCCCCTCTGTGACACTGTGACATTGTAGCAATGACCCGTACTCCCCTCTGTGACACTGTGACATGGTAGCAATGCACACACTCCCCTCTGTGACACTGTGACATTGTAGGAATGACCCGTACTCCCCTCTGTGACACTGTGACATGGTAGCAATGCACACACTCCCCTCTGTGACACTGTGACATGGTAGCAATGACCCGTACTCCCCTCTGTGACACTGTGACATGGTAGCAATGACCCGTACTCCCCTCTGTGACACTGTGACATGGTAGCAATGCTGCGTACATGAATCATACACTGAGTAACTTCTTTGCTTGCCTGTCCTCGCGCGGCACAGTGCCCTGAGCATTGTTTGCTCCAGTGGATCTCTGTTCCTTCCTGAGGCTCAGTCCACAGAGTGGGTGACCGCAGTTTCACCAGTCTCACGCTCACCCCCGGAGGACACCGGGATGGCTTGTTGTGTGAGTGTTGAGAATCGCACTGCTGTCATTATTTTGCACGCTTTAGTATGAACGTGTGTGCATATCCCGTGGGCAGATTTCCCCAGAAGTCATTGCTGGTTGCCGGTTGGTTGGCTGCATTTTAGTTTCGTGAGCAGCTGCTGGCCTGCCTTCAGGAGTGGCTGTGTGTTTTTCTTTGCCACCAGCCGAGGCTAAGGGGTCCAGCCCCTCACCCCCTTCAGCGTTGGGATCGCAGCTCGTCCTTTCAGCTCTCATAGGTACAGAGTGCTCGCTCTGTGGCTTTTGTTAGCTTTCCGAAGCTGCTGATGCTGGATGTGTTTGTGTGCGCATGTCCGTCTGTGCCCTCCTTGCTCTTTCCTGCCCACTCTCTGGTTGGAGTATTTGGTTTCTGACCTTGAACACTGACACTTCTCCTATTTCTCAAAGACCGGCTATTGGCTGAACATGTGGTTTGCAAATGTTTTTTCTCCTCTTCAAATGGGTCCTCACAGAGAAAAAGGTTTTAATTTTGATGATGTTTAACTTATGCACTTTTCTCTTTATGATTT